TGTCCCATGCTACTACTGAGGTTCATAGGGGCCAGGTGATTACTTCCACTGATCCTTTGTGAGACTTCATGACTACTGTAAAACTCAGCAGTGTCACCACTGCATAATGGCATCATCCATTCCCCTTCCTGTTAAATAAGCTATGTCTGATTGACTGTGTCGCTAAGTCAACATTTGTCATTTTCAAAATTATTAAGTGAAATTATCCAGCCAATAATGTGCCTTAAACAGGAATTTACAATTACACAGCAGGTGGGCCTGAAGAAGACACAGTCAAAGTAATGCAATCCATTGATTTCTTTTCCTCTAGCTACTTCAGCAGTAACATATTTGAACAAATTAACTCAAATGCTCAACTTGCCTTCTACAGGTAAAACTTTCCCGGCTTCCTGTTAACACATCTTTAATCCCAGCAATTGTACAGATGGTCATAGCAGAAGCTATAGCTCAGTCAAGCTTTGTTTATTGTACCGGGCAATTTCAGAGTAACCTTGGGGTACAAGTATGCATCACCATGACGGAGCTTGAACACAAACGTTTAACGTGTCCCTTCTTGAGTAATGGGTTTTCTTCAACTGCTAGCTCCAATACACGCTCAAAGGGTGCATAATCTTTTATTTCCCTTTAAAGGGGCTGTTAAAGTGAGGCATAGAATGACAGCCATTTTATTATTGTTACCTAAAAGAGGCCCATTCTACCTAGTGATCTAACTTGCAATATAACCTGTAAAGTCTGGGTTAAACAGCTGAAAGAACTGTAAGTGTCTGTGCAGTTTATTTCATTTGTACTACAGTGAAAAAATAGAAATGCAAGAGGTGAGCAAGAATCTGTGGAGATTGGTGGGCTGTGGAAAGCAGCCAGGAAAGGCTTGCACTTACTAATTTATATAACACAGTCTACTGTAGCTCCCAGAAAGTCAGCATTGTCCTTTCTAATGGTAGCTGAATATCTAAAACTGAAAATCTAAAACTGAAAATCTAAATCTATAAACTGCAATGTGATCCTACTCCCAGTGAAGTCAATAGCAAATTTCCTACAGCACAGGGTAGAAACACTGAGCAAAGGACAGGAACCAGTACACTGGCTCAGGTCTAGAGGATGGGCCAACATATATAGTGCCCATGCTCACTAAGCTTCTTAAGAAAAGGCTCAAATGATCTGAGACAAATGTCTTCGAAGACTGACAGCTTCTCACTTGCCTCTAGCGCAAGCCTGTGCCTTAGGTTTTCCAAGGAGCTCAGGAACGAGTGCTCATGGCTCAGCACCCATACCTAAAGCCAGAAGTTCCCTGCACTGAGCAGTCCAGAAGTGCCTTCTCACTCAGGTGCCTACATAACAAGCATGCCCTTGGAGAAATCTAACACTGATCTGGATTCCTGAGCTCTTTAGACAATTTGGTCCCGAAACATGGCATTTTGCTCAGTCAGTATCAACCCCAAGGTTGGGAAATGACAGCAAAGCTGATATATGCTGCAGGCAAACCTGGCCCTGGGTACTTATCATTTGGTCCCTCCCACCAATGTTTCTTTGCTCAGACTTTATCTGCTGCATAATGTCTTACCTTTATACAGACAGCAGTGACTTGCAAACCATTCCCATCATTAATATACCAGGATATGCATATTTGCAATACTATAATTAATGATCTATCTAGTCATTTTATTATAGACCCTCCATGTTGCAGCTTCTATAGCCTTGCATTAAAAGTGTCCTCTGTCTTGAGACTTGCCAGAGAGGGAGTAGTTTTTTCCCTAAGGTTTAAGAATTAAAAACAAGACCAAATCATTTAACATACAGCATAATCAAACCACACAAGACCCTGCTTGTGTCCAAAGTGTGTGTGGATCTAGCATCTAGGAGTGTTTTCAGAGCCAGCAGCTAAAATCATTCTCCATCAGCCCACCCCATATGTGAAACAGGGCCAAGCCGAGGAGCCACCACTCCACAGGCAGATTCTCAAATATACTTGTAAGTTAATGTTTCATAACTAGCACCTGCTACTTAACATCTAGGCATGTGGTACAATATATAGCGCAAGTCCTAATCCTACTAAACTCAATAGAAAAAACCGTAGTAACTTCAATGAGCCCCTAGTTTGTTTTTAACTGTTTAAAAAATTACTTTCCCGCAAAGCCAAAGAAGCAACCTTGGCAGCAGAGACTACGAATCTACTCCTTGTTCTCCTGCCACAATCAATGCAAGAAACAAATGGGCAGTCACAAAGCATTTCCAATAATCTCTAGTGTGATGTTATTTGGTCCCACTGGGTTGTCAGGAACCCTCAAAAAGCAAGGGCCTTTCCTGGGCTTGAATCTGTGAAATACATCTACACATCATGTTTCCCCCCTACGGTAGGCAACACCCTCCTATTCATCTCCAGTTTTAGGGACTTGTGTTTTTAACCAAGACTACCCTGCCAATGGCTAGAGAGTCTACATGTACATGCTCATGCATTTCAGCCCCTCTGTCCTGAACTACAGAGCTACTGACTCCTCCAAGTTTCGGGACAATATTCTAATGGTACTTGCCCACAAGCACAAGCTTCAGTCGATAGCACCTCAGCACCTACTCAGTCCACAAAGAAGAGAAGCTGTCAGTGAAGTGCAAATATAGGGCATTCCAGAATGAAGCAGCGTTGAGAAAATTAGGGAGTCACAAAGATACCTAGAAGGAGAACTAAGCAATCATTCATCCTCCCTCCAATAGCGCAGACGATAGCAGAGGTGTTCTCCACTGGAAGCGAGAGGTGAGGGAAAGGAGTGGCTGCATTGCTTAGGTGCACTGCACAGACCGAAGACACGGCTATCATTCTTCTTGTTGGCGAATAGAGACACATCATTAACTACACAAGGACACAAGGGAATAAAAGAAAACAGTGACATAACTAGCACAACTCAGGATCCCAAGCTACCTGCATGTTACTGGGCATTTATGCTTATGTCTGTACTAACGACATCATCTGTATTTCCTATTCCCATGTCAGTCTGTCTATGTATTTATATAGTGCTTATCACTGTGGCATATGAGCACCCCATAGTGTTCTAGGGAGCTCGCCTTCCTGACATGTGAGGTAAGGAAGGATTATCCCCAGGTTGCAGAAGAGGAACAGGGTTAGTTAAGTCATTTGGAAAATGTCAACCAGCAAGTCTGTACATTAAATAGATGTTGCATCCAGGTCTGTAGACTGCCCATGCTGGACCCTACATGGATGGACTCACTTAATGGAGACCATCAGCTCAAAAACCGCCATCTCAATTAGCCATCACACAGACAGACAGACAGACATCACACAGACATCATTCTGTAGGCTCTGCTTTATGCTCTGAAACGTGAGGTTTCATTTAATTTATCCCAGATTGAATTGACTCAGAGTAACAGATATTGTTCGATCTGTCCAGAGACTGACCATTCTTTTTCATTCATGTTTTGAAATTTCAAAGTTGGAGGGAAGGTATTTCTCACATTTGAGCCTTTGGACAGCTTTCATGAAAAGGCAGTTGTGAAGTTTACAGCTGGAGAATGATTTTTATTGTTATAACCTGTTTACTTTATTTGCAATGCTCTTGGCACGGTGAACCAGGCAAGAAAAAAAACACATCGGCCCATTCCCTGAGGAATTCATGATCCACAAAAAAGAGACAGAGAAAATGAGCCCTGGTGGAAAACCTAACAACTGGACATGACTCCTGTTTTTTTTTGGGGGGGGGGGGG